AACATTGATTGTGAGCTCTATTAAATTTTAGAATTTAGTATTGATCTAATAGTTATAATGACCTAAATAGCATTAATTTTTTTTTGTTTTCATATTTTTTGTAATGGGTTGGGTTACATTGGACTCGGTCATTTAGAGTAACCCTTGGATGCCTATAATGGCCAGGTAATTATAGGGTATCATATCAATTAAAACCCGGGAAAAACCAACAAAAATCGAATCTTCAACTCTTGAGTTTATGGTTTGCTCCAGATTGACCCATATGATCAAGTGGGCTACTGTTGGGGTTATTCTTATTCATATTTGGGATAATTAGAAAGAGGTATACCAAATTAGACTTAATTATAAAAAAATACACAGAAAAAAATGTTGGGTAATTAAATCATTAATTTTGATACTTATTCGTATCTAAGTATATTATTTGAATTTTATTGATTTTTTGTGACATTTTTGTCCTTTATTAATCCATATATTTTTTCTTTGGAAAGTTGTGCATTAAATATTTCTTAGTTTTATAGGAGAACTTTAATATATATATATATACACTTGTTAAATTTCTTATCTAAATTTTGAATTATCTTTAGTGCACTTTGATTTATATGTTTTGTTTTTTTAGAAAGTAGTTTTATTTTTAAATTAATTTAATATCTGAATAGTGTAACAATAACAGTTCAACAATCTATTTATACAAAATATTGTACTATTACATTTTGTCAAATATATAGTTTCATATAATTTCATTCAAAATATTTTATACTCGTTTTGAATTTATTACCACATGCACAAACTATTGAACACTATTTTTATTACAGTGTATTTGTTACATTGTTATCGATACATTGTTATTGTTACACTATTTGAATATTAAATAACTTAATTTGAAAATAAAACCACTTTACCAAAAAAAAAAAAAGAAATGCAGGAATCAAGGTGCATTAAATATAATTTGAAAACAAAATCATTTTTCAAAAAAAAAAAAATGCATGAATTAAGGTGCATTAAAATTAATTTAAAATTTATATAAGAAATTTAACAACAAGTATATATATATATATATATATACACATATTTGTTTGTATTAATAAACACACATGAGTCAATGTGCATTAAAGATAAAATTTTTTGAATTAAATGACCATAAAATGAGCATTTATGTCTTTATAACTCATCTGTGTACTTTTCTTCAAAACAATTTAAAGTATGTACTTTTTGTCAAATAATTCTAACTAAATGGACTTCAAAAGAACCCTTCGTATTTACTCTAGCGTGGTACCTAGTTCTTTTTTATTTCTCTTAGATGGGTCAGGTTGTTTCAAATTATAAAATGAATTGCATTTAGTTTTATTTTTGAACTCGATTCATAAACAAACCGAGTCTGATCAACATGTAGATTGTTTGAATAGATTTGACTTGGTCTGAATAGATTTTTTTGTCTACAAATAAATTTGTATCTGAAAGAATAATTTTACATCTATCACCAAATAATTCCAGGTCTTTTGCACTTGAGATGCATAACTTTCCGCCTAAGTGACAACATCGAGTACCAAATCTTCTGTAGAATTGATATCTTGGAACTTAACCACCAAACTGCATCCTTACTCCTACGGTTTGTGCGTGTTTCTAATTTAAATGATACAGAATCATATTAATCGTGCATACTGTAGCACAAACTTTGGATACGTAATTATCCACAAATTATATGTATCATGAACTTTGCATGTATGATCATTCACAAGCTATATCTATCGAATAAGATAGTAATTTTTGAAATCTTCTCGTTCGAGCTCCTCCCCAACCAATATCTAACGAATCGTCAAACTGCTAGTACCAAAGCATAGAGGATATAATAGGAATTTCGAAGCAATTCAGCCGCCAACACTTAATGTGTTTCACAAATCTCTCAACCACATGTCCCATCACATTAGCTTGTAACACAAGGACATTTTAACGACGGAGCTGTTTATTCTACAACTATTTAATTTTTTAGTACCATACTAAAAATTTGGTAGGTGCAAAAAATAACAAATTTGATCATGTGTAAATGCAAAAGTAAGACAACTAATTTCACCGGTTATTATTTTTTTTTTTTACATTGTCTATACATAGGGGTATTCACCTTACCCTGTGAGTAAGAAATATGGTCTTTCATCTTTCTATCCAAGACTTTACATAAGAGTTTTTTCTTGACCTACTTTATCCGATCAAGTATAGTATTTCTACTTGAATTCCGTCCAAATTAATCGAGTACGAAGTCGGGTGAACACGTTTTGTAGTTATTAATTATTTGATCATTTTAATAATTCAATTAAATAACTTTTAACAATTAACCAACACAATAAATTAATAACACAATAAACCAATTATAGAGTAGCCCTAATCAACAGCCCTAAGCAAAACCACCAACCATCGATGCAATATCACCTAGGACCATCGATTCGATAGCATCGAATTGCCTCCAAACAGTCAACTGTGAGAGAGGGAGAGAGAAAGCAGAGACATAAAATCTCAAAAATTATAGTACTTGTAACCCTAATCAACGGTGCAAAGCAAAATCACCAACCATTGACAAAGTACCACTTGAGACCATCGATTCGATGAATGGAGTACTTGGGACCATTGATTTGATGGCATAGAAATTGCCCCCAAGCAGTCAATTGAGAGAAAGAAAAAAAAAGAAAGAGTACCTGAGACTCGAAGAGGAGGCGACTAGAAAGGCGATTGTCTCTGAGACTCGAAGATGAGGAGGCGGCATGGTGCTGGGGATTGCAACAAAGAGGTGAGAGAGGCCAAAGAGCATAGAAGTGAGCATAGAGAATAGAGAAGGCGAGATAAGTGAGAGGAGGAGGCGTTAGAGTTTTTAGGATAGAGTAGAAATATAAAAATTTGATAGGTATTCTGCATTCTTACCTGTTTTTTTTCGGTTAACCAATAAATAGGGTCGGGTTGGGTCGAAAATTGCGGGTAATTAGAAATTTGAACACCCCTATCTATACATATCAATTAAGGATAAAATTACAGCATCAATGAATCATTTACAACAATAAGGAAAATTTTACAACATCAGTAGAAAAAGTATATCAATAGCGAAAAATTTATAACAGTAGTGAGCAAAATTACCATAGTAATGGGCAAACTTACAACATAAGTGGAAAATTTATAGCCCAATTACAACTTAAATTGGAAATTTACAACATTAGTGGACCAAATTACAATATCAATGAAAAATTTATAACAGTAATGGGCAAAATTACAATATTAATGAAAAATTTACAATAGTAGTGGACCAAATTACATAAATGGGAAATGTACAATAATAGTGGACAAACTTTAACCAATATGCTGGTAAAATTACGATTGACACCTTCAACCACATTTGTTGTAAATACGTCACTAATGCTTCCCACTGATGTCATAAATTTATCTTTAAGTTTATATTATTATCTATGTTTTCGCATAATATTAACCAAAATGAAACTAAAATTAGCCTATATCCAAAATCATTCTAATTTAACCCTAAACTATTGTAAATTTTCCTTTTGGTGTTGCAATGTTAGCATAGTTGTAGTATATTCATCCACCATGGTTTTAACTAAATCAACTTTTGTTATAAATTTACCCTTAATCCTCGTAATGTTACAAAGAAATATCGTAATATTAATTAAAACAATCGTAAATTCTCCTATAAACATGTAAATTTATCCACAATTGTGGTAAATTCACACTCATAGGTGGTAAACTTACCCTCAATTGTGATAGATTGCCCACTATTATGTTAAATCTTACCACAAGGATGGTAATACTATCCTTAACAATATTAAATGTAACCAATATGGTCGTAAAAGTATTGATTGATACTTTTAACAATATTTGTTGTAAATATGTCACTAGTCCATCTCATAGGTATCATACATCTACCTTTATGTTTGTAAAATTATCCACGATTATTGTAAAATTAATCAAATTAATTTACAACAGCAGTTGACAAAAATTACTAGCTTTTTTACATTGTCTACATATACTAATTGAGGTCAAAATTATAAGATCAATGAAAAAATTTACATTATTACTTAAAAATTTACAATAATAATGAACAAAATTACAACATCGGCGAAAACTTTACAACGATAGTAAAAAATTTACAACAACAGTGAAAAATTTACAATATTAGTTGACAAAATTACAACATCAGTGAAAAACATATAACAACAGTGAAAAATTTACAATCGTAATAGGCAAAATTACTACAGCAGTAAGCAAAATTATAACATCAGTGAAAATTTTACAACAGTAGTGGGCAAAAATTACCACTGTAGTGGACACAATTACAATATCGGTGGAAAAATTACAATAATAATGAAAAATTTATAATACTAATAGTCAAAATTACAACATCAGTGAAAAATTTACAATAGTAGTGAACAAAATTGCAACATCAATGAAAAATTTATAAAAATAATGAGCAAACTTTAACCACTATGGTGGTAAAAGTATAATTGACACTTTTAACCATATTTGTTGTAAATATGACACTAGTGCATCGCACTAATGTTGTATATTTACCTTTAAATTTATTATTATCCCTGATTATCATAAATGTCAATCAAAATGAAAGTAAACTTGACCTATGTACTAGTAAATTTATCTACAATCATTCTAACTTAACCTTAAACTATTGTAAATTTACCCATAATCATTGTAAACTTTCGCACAGATGTCATAAATATTACCAAAACAATTGTAATCGTTGCAACAGCAGTGGGCAAAATTACCATAGTAGTCGATAAAATTATAATATCAATGAAAAAATTACGATAACAATGAATAATTTATAACAATAGTAGACAAAATTGAAAAATTAGTGAAAAATTTAAAACAGTAGTGAACAAAATTAAAATATCAGTGAAAAATTTACAAAAGTAGTGGGCAAACTTTAACCACTATGGTAGTAAATGTATAATTGATACTTTTGACCACATTTGTTATAAAATATGACACTAGTG